TAATTATAATAGGATACTGTGGTAGAAATAATCCTGACAAGACTATTTTTGACTTGAAATTTTTTTCTTAGAATCCAGTTTCTAAGGAAAAACTACAATATTGTTGTATGCAAGGTCACGATCTACTCTCCTGCAGAAATAAGAAAAGAGATGAAGAAGTTCAGGCTAAAGCCTCAGCCAACATTGAGGAGATTGATGATCAATGGAAAGTTCAAAGAGGAAATAAGAAATTACATCAACACACAATCGGGAATACTAACTTGAATATGCTACCACAACAACCTCATCAGGAAGTCATTCTCACAGGGAAAAATTCACAATCAGAGAGGGCAAATCAACCAACTATACAGCTAACAAATGATGGAACGCAAGACAAACAGAAACGAGTTTTGGACAAGAACAATCCAATTGAACATATAGCCCAATTGCACCAGGCATCGAAGCACAAGAATGGACCAAAGAAAAGAGTGCAATGGTAAGTTAATCAGAGCAAACAACAGACTAATACTCAGCATCATAGCACAAAACAACCAACTCCACTAACAATTGAGTCAAGCCAAGTTAATCCAAATGCAAAGCCTAATAAACCTCAAAACACAACACCTCAGACAAGCCCTAATGTGCAGTCTTCCATTAAGACAGGTTCTCAGATGCTCCCTGATAGTACTACCAAGCCAAAACACCAATCTGATATCGCCTCTACTTCTGTTGTTCCAAAACAACAAAATATATCCACCTCAGTTCCTAAAATCCAAAAGACAACACAAATTAGCCCTCCATTACTAGGAAACCAGACAGAAAATGCACACACAAACCACACTTCTCAAGAGCCTCCAGACCCTCATCCTCCTGACAATCTAACCCCCGAATCCCCTCCACCAGCTAACAATCCTAGTAACCACACTGTTCCCTCGGAGAGTAGTGATGAATTAGAGCTGGATGTGGTAAATGATGTAGATTCCGAATTTGAAGGGGAAGATTCAGAAATTGCTGAAAATGATCAAGTTGTTAGTGATTCTGAGAATGACTTTGAAAGCGTTGAAGATCAGTCTGAAAGTGAGGAAAGTCTTGATGCTCAATCTGCTACCAGCGATGATCATGCTAACAGATTGCTAGAAGCTTTCTCACATCAATCACCACCACCAGATGAAATTGTTCAAGCCTTTGGAGATGTTACTGACAGACAGCACCTCTCACCCAGGGGGCATGAGGTAACCAGAGGTGGACTCTCATTAACCAGAGGTGGACTCACCTTTAAGGAGGGTAGAGGTAATAGAAGAGGCAAAGGCATTCCTCCAGTGAAATTTTCATAGGACAATGATGATCAATCTACATCTTTTTAATGATTAAGTCTCTTATTTGGAATATTAGAGGCATCACTTCACAAGGTGCCTTTGACAGACTTAAGCAACTCAAAAGAACTCACAACCTTTTATTCATTGCTCTCATGGAACCTTTCTGCGGAAGGAAAAAGTTAGAGAAATTTAGAAGAGGACTTGGGTTTGATTTTGCATATGCTAATTGCAACAATAGAATCAGGTTCTTTGGTGATAGCTCTATCAACTGTATTGTTATTGAAGACCTTCCTCAACTTATCAATTGCTCAATTGATAATAATGGGGAGACTTTATACATGACTTTAGTGTATGCTAAATGCAAAGCTCATCTCAGGGAGCCTCTATGGGATAGCATCAAATCTTTTTCTAATGCAGTTAGCTCTCCATGGATGGTGATTGGGGATTTTAACGCTATTACTGATCCTCAGGAGAAAAAAGGGGGGAAACAATGTAGATTCCGAATTTGAAGGGGAAGATTCAGAAATTGCTGGAAATGATCAAGTTGTTAGTGATTCTGAGAATGACTTTGAAAGCGTTGAAGATCAGTCTGAAAGTGAGAAAAGTCTTGATGCTCAATCTGCTACCAGTGATGATCATGCTAACAGATTGCTAGAAGCTTTCTCACATCAATCACCACCACCAGATGAAATTGTTCAAGCCTTTGGAGATGTTACTGACAGACAGCACCTCTCACCCAGGGGGCATGAGGTAACCAGAGGTGGACTCTCATTAACCAGAGGTGGACTCACCTTTAAGGAGGGTAGAGGTAATAGAAGAGGCAAAGGCATTCCTCCAGTGAAATTTTCATAGGACAATGATGATCAATCTACATCTTTTTAATGATTAAGTCTCTTATTTGGAATATTAGAGGCATCACTTCACAAGGTGCCTTTGACAGACTTAAGCAACTCAAAAGAACTCACAACCTTTTATTCATTGCTCTCATGGAACCTTTCTGCGGAAGGAAAAAGTTAGAGAAATTTAGAAGAGGACTTGGGTTTGATTTTGCATATGCTAATTGCAACAATAAAATCTGGTTCTTTGGTGATAGCTCTATCAACTGTATTGTTATTGAAGATCTTCCTCAACTTATCAATTGCTCAATTGATAATAATGGGGAGACTTTATACATGACTTTAGTGTATGCTAAATGCAAAGCTCATCTCAGGGAGCCTCTATGGGATAGCATCAAATCTTTTTCTAATGCAGTTAGCTCTCCATGGATGGTGATTGGGGATTTTAACGCTATTACTGATCCTCAGGAGAAAAAAAGGGGGAAAATTCACAATATGTCTAAAAGCTTGCCCTTCATCAACTGCATTGTGGATAGTGGCCTTTTGGATCTTGGTTACACTGGAAGTCCTTTTACCTGGTGTAATGGCTGGGCACCTACTAAGAGGATATGGGCAAGACTGGATAGAGCTCTTGTTAACTCAGAATGGTTACAGAATTTTGCAGATACCTCTATCACACACTTGGTCAGAACTGGCTCTGATCATGCTCTTTTTCTTGTCTCCACTTCTAATCCACAATTGGAGCCTAAAAAGTATTTCAGATTCTTAGATCTTTGGACTGAACAAGAGGGTTTTATGCAAGTAGTAGAACAAGCCTGGAATCTACAAGTAGAAGGAGGCCCTATGTGGAGATTTCATCTCAAGCTAAAAAATGTTTGTAAAAGTCTTTCCTTTTGGTCCAAGAATTCTATTGGGAATATTTTTGATAAGACCAAGGAATTGCAGAATATGCTTGAGGTATTAGAGGAAAGATGTCTAAATGACAATTCTGAAAGCAATAGGATGGAATACAATAATGTGAATGCACAGTTGATTAGGCACATAAAAAATAAAGAGTCATTTTGGAGACAAAAAAGCTGGCTTGAAGTGGTTTACGGATGGTGACAATAACACTAGGTTCTTTCACTCTGTAATTAATTCTAGAAGGAAAAAATTACAACTTACAAGAATCAAGAAGCAAGATGGTACCTGGATTGAGAACAAAGATGATATAGCTACTGAAGCTATTAACTTTTTTGAGCAGCAGTTCACACAAGAAAATACTTGCAGAGATTTTTCAATGCTTAGGGGGCTTAACAGAGTAATATCAGAAGAAGATAACTTGGTTTTAGAGGCACTCCCTACCATGGATGAACTGAAACAGGTAGTATTCTCCATGGATAGTAGCAGCTCGCCTGGCCCCGATGGCATTTCTGGAAAATTCTTTCAACACTGCTGGAATATAATTTCTGCTGATCTCTATCAGGTGGTTTTGGAATTCTTCTCTGGGCAACCTCTCCCTAGATCATTTACTCATACATGCCTTGTCCTTATCCCTAAAATTGATAACCCGCAACAATTCACTGATTTCAGGCCTATNCCACCACCAGATGAAATTGTTCAAGCCTTTGGAGATGTTACTGACAGACACCACCTCTCACCCAGGGGCATGAGGTAACCAGAGGTGGACTCACCTTTAGGGAGGGCAGAGGTAATAAAAGAGGCAAAGGCATTCCTCCTGTGAAATTTTCACAGGACAATGATGATCAATCTACATCTTTTTAATGATTAAGTCTCTTATTTGGAATATTAGAGGCATCACTTCACAAGGTGCCTTTGACAGACTTAAGCAACTCAAAAGAACTCATAACCTTTTATTCATTGCTCTCATGGAACCTTTCTGCGGAAGGAAAAAGTTAGAGAAATTTAGAAGAGGACTTGGGTTTGATTTTGCATATGCTAATTGCAACAATAAAATCTGGTTCTTTGGTGATAGCTCTATCACCTGTATTGTTATTGAAGACCTTCCTCAACTTATCAATTGTTCAATTGATAATGATTGGGAGATTTTATACATGACTTTAGTGTATGCTAAATGCGAAGCTCATCTCAGGGAGCCTCTATGGGATAGCATCAAATCTTTTTCTAATGGAGTTAGCTCTCCATGGATGGTGATTGGGGATTTTAACTCTATTACTGATCCTCGGGAGAAAAAAGGGGGGAAAATTCGCAATATGTCTAAAACCTTGCCCTTCATCAATTCCATTGTGGATAGTGGCCTTTTGGATCTTGGTTACACTGGAAGTCCTTTTACCTGGTGTAATGGCTGGGCACCTACTAAGAGGATATGGGCAAGACTGGATAGAGCTCTTGTTAACTCGGAATGGTTACAGAATTTTGCAGATATCTCTATCACACACTTGGTCAGAACTGGCTCTGATCATGCTCCTTTGCTTGTCTCCACTTCTAATCCACAATTGGAGCCTAAAAAGTATTTCAGATTCTTAGATCTTTGGACTGAACAAGAGGGTTTTATGCAAGTAGTAGAACAAGCCTGGAATCTACAAGTAGAAGGAGGCCCTATGTGGTAGCTTCTATACTGGCCCTTCCACTTTGGTGTAGTTTTAGTTTGTATTGGTGCTCTACGGGAGGTGGGTGGGGATCAAGAGAAGCAAGGCCGGGCATTTGAGTTCAAAGCGAGGAGCCAGACAGAGACAGATTGCAATTGCAAAAGCGGAGATTTCATCTCAAGCTAAAAAATGTATGTAAAAGTCTTTCCTTTTGGTCCAAGATTTCTATTGGGAATTTTTTTGATAAGACCAAGGAATTGCAGAATATGCTTGAGGTATTAGAGGAAAGGTGTCTAAATGACAATTTTGAAAGTAATAGGATGGAATACAATAATGTGAATGCACAGTTGATTAGGCACATAAAAAATGAAGAGTCATTTTGGAGACAAAAAGCTGGCTTGAAGTGGTTTACGGATGGTGACAATAACACTAGGTTCTTTTACTCTGTAATTAATTCTAGAAGGAAAAAATTACAACTTACAAGAATCAAGAAGCAAGATGGTACCTGGATTGAGAACAAAGATGATATAGCTATTGAAGCTATTAACTTTTTTGAGCAACAGGTCACACAAGAAAATACTTGCAGAGATTTTTCAAAGCTTAGGGGGCTTAACAGAGTAATAAATGAAGAATATAACTTGGTTTTAGAGTCACTCCCTACCATGGATGAACTGAAACAGGTAGTATTCTCCATGGATAGTAGCAGCTCGCCTGGTCCCGATGGCATTTCTGGAAAATTCTTTCAACACTGCTGGAATATAATTTCTGCTGATCTCTATCAGGTGGTTTTGGAATTCTTCTCTGGGCAACCTCTCACTAGATCATTTACTCATACATGCCTTGTCCTTATCCCTAAAATTGATAACCCGCAACAATTCACTGATTTCAGGCCTATTAGTCTAAGCAACTTCACTTCCAAAATTATCTCAATGTTGCTTAACAGTAGGCTAGCCCCTCTTATGAACAGGATTATTTCTCCAAACCAAACTGGTTTCCTTAAAGGTAGGTCAATCTCAGATAATGTGATGCTTACTCAAGAACTTATTCATAACTTGAATAGGCCCAATGTCAATGGTAATGTAGTTTTTAAGCTAGACATGGCAAAGGCCTTTGACAGAGTTCCTTGGGACTACCTCTGTCAAACTATGAGGCAATTAGGCTTTTCTGAATGTTGGATTGATATGGTTTCAAGATTGATCTCAAACAATTGGTACTCCATCAATGTCAATGGAGTGAGACATGGGTTTTTCAAATCCTCTAAGGGCCTTAAGCAAGGAGACCCACTATCCCCCTCACTTTTTGTCATTGGAGCAGAATTGCTGTCTTACATGATGGACCAGCTAGTACATGATAATTTTATTAGTTTTTCTATGGATCGAGGCAGTCCCTTAATCACTCACCTCACATATGCTGATGGCACCATCCTCTTCTCCTCTGGTGACTTGTTATCTATTGCCATGATGATGAAAAAGTTGGAGGACTATGAACAAGCCTCAGGACAAATGGTGAATAAAAGAAAATCTACATTCCTGGTATCTTCTAAAACTCCTTCAACTGTAATTGAAGACATCAAAAGCATCACTAGTTTTTCCCATTCCCAGTTCCCTTTTACTTATTTGGGGTGCCCTATTTACCCTGGGAGAAAGAAAATTTGCTATTTTGGAAATATGGTGGCCAAAATAGCAAATAGAACTCAAGGTTAGAAAGGGAAAATTCTCTCTTTTGGGGGTAGAGCAGTCCTTATCAGGTCTGTATTGCATTCTATTCCTTTACATATCACATCTATTGTGCATCCACCAAAAACTACCCTTGATCATATTGAAAAATCTCTTGCTAGTTTTTTCTGGGATACAATAGAGAGCGAGAGAAGTTATCATTGGTTTTCTTGGCAGAATTTATGTTATCCTAAGACGGAGGGAGGGGTAGGTTTTAGATCATTGCATGACATTTGCATTTCTTTTGCTGCTAAATCCTGGTGGAATTTCAGAACTCAAAAGTCTCTTCTCACCCTCTTCCTGGAAGCTAAATACTGCAAAAGATATCATCCACTTGCTAGAAAAAAGAGTTATACTCAGTCACACTCTTGGAGAAGGCTAATGGATATCAAGAAAGACTGTGAAGCACATATTTTATGGAATGTAGGAAAAGGTAACCTCTCCTTTTGGTGGGATAACTGGACCAATAAAGGAGCCCTTGCTAATTTAGTTCAACAGGGAAACAAGTCCCAGAAGATAAAAGTGGCTGATTTTATTGCGCACAACCAATGGAAGCTGGATAAACTCCGTGATACTCTCCCTTCTAATTTGGTTTCTCATATTCAATCTATCAAGATTTCTCCTGAAGAGAAAGATCTTCCTATTTGGCTCGCAAACCCCACTGGATCATTTTCTAGTAAATCAGCATGGAAAACTTTTAGAAAATCTAGAGGCTCTTCCTTCACTACAACTAAGATCTGGCACCGTAAACTACCTTTTAAAGTATCTTTTCATGTTATGAGATTATTAAATGGTAAGCTTGCAACTGATGACTCTTTGATCAGGTTTGGGGTTCATGGGCCCTCAAAATGTTATTGCTGCATCAATAGCAATATGGAAACTACAAACCATTTATTTTGTGATGGTGATGTGGCTCTAAAAGTTTGGAAATATTTTCAAGATGCTTGTGGATTGTCTATTAACTCTGTTGGTGGTATTCGGTCCAAATTCATCAGATGGTGGCTCATCAAACCACAAAACAAAGTTCATGACATGATATTGCAATGTCTCCCCTCTATTATCTGTTGGGAAATATGGAAATATAGATGTACCTACAAATATGAGGGTATCAGAAGTTCAATTCATAGAATCATTGGTCAAATTACCTACTTGATGCAACTGTTGCTTTCTACTGAATTTCCTTCTCTGCCTTTTATGTCTTCTTTCCCGAGGATATGTCAATTGGTAGACATAATCAAACCTCAACTACACATTGTTCCTGTGAGATGGAATAAACCGAGTGTTGGGGAATTCAAATTAAATGTTGATGGTTGTAGCAAAGGAAACCCAGGTAATGCAGGAGGTGGAGGGGTGTTAAGAGATCATCTCGGACGTTTGATCATGGCTTTCACTGTTTACCTTGGTAGTTGCTCAAATAATTCAGCTGAAGCTCAAGCAATCAAAATCGGAGTTAGATGGTGCTTAGATCATGGCTTCAACAGGTTGACAGTTGAGTCAGATTCTCTTGTTGTTATCCAGATGATAAGAGGAGAAATTTCTACTACTTGGCATATAAAAGGATGAGATCTCAGCGATTCAAGCAATGAATCTAATTGGAAATTTTCATTATGTTCACACACTCAGAGAAGGTAATATCCCATCAGACCTCCTAGCTAATATAGCTAAAGTAGAGAGGAAGAGTCAGTTCTTCACTGAGGCTATAAATCTTCCAAGGCAGTTTATATCCTTATTGAAGAATGACGAGAAAGGGATGCCAAATTTCAGAATCAGGGTAAGAAAGAGGACCTTTATTTTTGATCCAGGCTGAGTGATCTTTCTTAGTTCCTTTGTTTTGTGAGCTAATCTATTTAAGGAGCAACCCTCCTAATTCTTGTTGGACTAGTAAAATTGTAATGGATGGACTTAGTCCATCCCAACTTTCCTCTGAGAGGTTTGGTTTATGCCCCCCTCTATGTACATCTTGATTTTTCAAAAAAAAAAAAATTCCACTACTCCGAGGAACGGACAGTCTCCAAGTTGAATTCAATCCCGAATTGATACCACAATATATCTATCAGACCACCACAATAAAATTTTAAAGAATAGAGATGGAGGAGGTTTCGAAGAGTATATCCATGTTGACAAAAAGTGAAGCATGCTACAAGCATCCAGATACTCGGACTCACTTGGGCTAGGCAAATGTTGAAATGCCTACAAATTTCAATCAAGATGAGATCAATTGCCAATTCGAATTTGAGAGTGAATGGGTACGTATATACTTAAAAAAAACAACCTGATGACTAGTAATTGGCTCATTCTCCTGAGCAAGTTGATTATCGACATGATCTTTTAAATGGCATTCCTCATGGATGACAGAAGAAAAACTCATACACAGGTATATTTCGATTTCCGGATTGCCCTCCTATTTTCTTGACTTTTTTTTTTGCCTTTTGAAGAAGAATAGGGCTTCACATTTATAGGCGTGGAACCGACTCACCGGGTCATCATCACGAAGTCATGAAGTCATTATTTCCTTGGAACTCGCTATTAATGACAGCCCCAATCAAGATTTTTCATATGTATTAAATATTAAATGAGAACGGCACATGTTGCTTCGTTCTCGAAACATGTCCCATCAATTTGGGGACACGGGTATTTGACATGATTTCTTTTTTGTCAATCGAAAATGTTAGTAGTTATGATTTCTTTCTTACCAAGTACTCTTTCACTTCCCGAAAACTTTTAGAGAACAATTTAGAAAGTAGGAGAACTATTTGTATTGCTAAAAGAAATGTTCTTGACACGCGGACATATCAATGGCTAACACGTGACAAATATAGCGTACCTAGCTCCAGGTCAAAACGAAAGGTCTGTTTAGGAAGTAAATCCCAAGTTTTTTATATCGGATCAAACGATGTTAATCCAGAAGTGACCACCCTGATTCTTCGGAAAATGATCGAGTGTCCGAAAGTCTGTGAATATTCGGATAACGTATTCTCGGACAAATAGTCAAGTATCTGGAAGCATCTATCTCGGACATGATCTTTTAAATGGTATTCCTCCTGGATGATAGAAGAAAAACTCATACACAGATATATTTCGATTTCCGGATTGCCCTCCTCTTTTCTTGATTTTTTTTTTGAGGTTTTGGCATGGTATAACAACATACTCATATAACTGGCAGAAAATAGCTCTAGTTATAGTTATTGGCATCAAATAGCCAATAAATGTATATCACAGTAATAATATGTATATCACAATTTTTTTTCTTCTTTGTCTATATCAACAAGTATATTAAAATTATATTTTCATTCTTTGTATATAAATAATATTATTCTTTGTATATCAATAATATAAAATAATATATATAGTTATTGCTGCCTTTATATCAATGTATATCACAATAAAAATATTATATTATTTGTATATCACAATGTATAGCACATCGAACATGTGTATACCAAAATTGTAACCCGTGTATATCTCTATGTACATCAGTGATATCTCATGTATATTATGTGTATCTGTGTATATCCATGAAAATTTGTGTTATATGTACGATATACAATGTGACATACATGGGCGTCCATAAAAAATTATGTTGTATACACGATATACAAAATGATATACACAGACGTCCTTAAGAACCTGTGTGTGATATACACTGATGTACACAATATACAATGTGATATACGCATGTCGTAGTTGGATTTTTAGGTCTGATTTTTTACCTGAAACCAATCTAAATCACTTCTAATCTTGCTCAAATTTTGTATATAGCCTCGTTTAGGTATTTTCAACCAATTTCAATCACACCCAGTCATTAAATCCAACCAAAAAAAGGAAGAGAGAAGAAAAACAAAGTTGAAATATATTTTTTCTCTCTTAGTTTTTGCTAAAATCAGAAAAGGGATATAAAGAGATTCTGGAAATTTTTAGATACTTTTAAAAGGAAATAAAACATAATTTTTAGGAGGATGGTTGCAACCAATTAGAAGAGAGAAGAGAAGATAGATTCTTTAATAAAGAAAACTAAAGAGAATAAGGCACCATTTATGGAAGAAGATACGGAATGCAGTTGTGGAAAAATAATTGCCTTACACAACGAAGTAATGGAGAGAAGAGATAGATAGTGGTTCTTATTGCTATTTTTAAGGAAAATAACTTTGGTTATTGGGTGCCAATTTTTTGGGGCTACTATTGCCAAACCTAATATAAGGCCAAAAAATTGCCAATTCTTCTTATGTGTTGTCATACCATGCCATTTTTTTTTTTGGCCTGTTGAAGAAGAATAGGGCTTCACATTTATAGGCGCGGAACCGCCTCACCAGTCATCATCGAAGTCATGAAGTCATTATTTCCTTGGAAATCACTATTAATGACAGCCCCAATCAAGATTTTTCATATGTATTAAATATTACTCCCTCCGGTCCAAAATAAGTGATTTTTTGGCCTTTTTCTTGTGGTCCAAAATAAGTGATTTTTTCAGATTTCAAGAATGAATTAATTATTTTTTTTCTACATTGTCCTTGAAGTAAATGGTGTTGGAATTAGGGGTGTTCATGGTTCGGTTTGGATCGGTTTTTCCCTATAAAGAAACCAAACCAAGTAAGTCGGTTTTTTAAATATTAGAACCAAACCAAACTAATTAAGTCGGATTTTTATCGATTTGGTTTATGTCGGGTTTTGTCGGTTTTTTGGTTTTTTCGGTTATTTGTCGGTTTTTTCTTAAATATAAGACATACACTACCAAACACATATTTCGGCGATCATATTTTCAACGTAACACTATCAAATCAATTGCCCTTTGAGAAATCTATTATTTACCAAGATATATTGATGATAATTGAATCAGTGATGAATAATTTAAGGAATCAACTAAAAATATATTATTTTTAACACGAAATGGATTATTACACTTAACAAAAGAAAACTACCAATCAAATTAGAATGTAAAGGTAAAAACTATACTAAAAGTGCAAACTATTAACATTTACCATAAAAATTTTGAAACTCTGTATAAAAATATACATACATATAGGTGTAATAATAAACTTGAAATAGCTACTCCTATAGTCGGTTTGGTTCGGTTTTTTTCGGTTTTTTCCTGATTAAAACCAAAACCAAACCAAATTTGATCGGTTTTTAAAATTCAAAACCAAAACCAAACCAAACCAAAAAGTATCAGTTTTTTTGGTCGGTTTGGTTTGTTATTCGGTTTGGTTCGGTTTTTCAGGTTTTTATGAACAACCCTAGTTGGAATATGTGTTAGGATTGTTTATGTGAGATAATAAAGGTTAATATGGTCAATTCCATTGCTAATTAATGCTAAAAGGTGGATTTCTTAATTTGTATGAAAATATTCAAAAAAATCACTTATTTTGGACCGGAGGGAATAAATGAGAACAGCACATGTTGCTTCATTCTCGAAACATGTCCCATCAATTTCGGGACAAGCGTATTTTACATGATTTCTTTTTTGTCAATCGAAAATGTTAGTTATGATTTCTTTCTTACCAAGTACTCTTTCACTTCCCGAAAACTTTTAGAGAACTATTTAGAAAGTAGGAAAACTATTTGTATTGCTAAAAAAATGTTCTTGACACGCGGACATATCAATGGCTAACACGTGACAAATATTGCGTACCTAGCTCCAGGTCAAAACGAAAGGTCTGTTTAGGAAGTAAATCCCAAGTTCTTTATATCGGGATCAAACGATATTAATCCAGAAGTGACCACCCTGATTCTTCGGAAAATGATCGAGTGTCCGAAAGTCTGTGAATATTCGGATAATGTATTCTCGGACAAATAATCAAGTATCTGGAAGCATCTATTCAAAGCCTCCAGGTAAGAAAACTATTCCCTCCGGTCTAAAATAAGTAATTTTTTGGATGTTTTCACACATATTAAGAAATCCTCCTTTTAGCATTAATTAGCAATGGAATTGATCATATTAACCTTTACTATCTCACATAAACACTACTAACACATATTCCAACACTATTTACTCTAAGGACAATGTAGGAAAAAAATAATTAATTCATTCTTAAAATCTGAAAAAATTAGTTATTTTGGACCACAAAAAAAAGGCCAAAAAATCACTTATTTTGGACCGGGGAGTAACATACCAACATTTTTTGAGAAATCCTTGAGGCAACATTAATTCGGCAATTACGAAATTCAGCATTAACTCATCAGTTATAAATCTTCCAAATGTAAATGAAAGGCCTAAATAAATGCTCATAATGGACCCATTATTCAAGGAAGTTGGCTACTTGGAATTAATACTATAGATATGCACACTTTACCCTCATTATAATCATTTTACTTTATACTTCACAATTCTGCACATTGTAATTCATAGCAACATGCTTTGTGGTTTGCCACAATTTAGCTCATTAAGCTTTGTTCGTACACGCATTTTATCAATGATCATCAAATATAAATCGCGTCCACTTATTTCTCGTTTATTACTTATTCCTTCTATTTTTTTCCTGCCCGATTTCATTCGATTAACAAAAGATAATATCATTGAATTAATCAATTGCTTGTGGCCTTATAATTACAAATTTAATTGATTAATTTAAAATTAGTTTTTGGGTTAAATATTTTCGGCTCCCCACCCCCACCCACAAATTGCTCT